AGAGCCAGCCTTAAGGCCACGTGGCGTGGCTGTGTGTCCTCACCCTCTCTGAGCCTGTTCTCTTATGTGCAAAATGAGAGGGGAGCGGGGAGGGCCGCTCTTTCAGGGCTGTTTCGAAGGTTGAAGGCATTTAGGCTCTGCAAGAACATCAAGCCCAGCATCTGGCATGTACTAGCTGCTCAGTAGGTCACAGAGGAGCAGAACTGGAGGGAATTTTATTTCAATTACCAAGGAGTTATGCCCATTCCCCTAAAGAGAACAGTGCCTGGCTCTACCACTCCGCCAGACAACTGGTTCTTCCCACCAGGAGGGCAAATCCATCATGCTCAGCAGCTATTGGCCTCTTTCACCTGGGGTAAGGTTATTGGGGGGTCATGCCCCCACACCCCGTGTCCACTTTCCAGGAAAAGACCCTACGCAAGGAGTTCAATACACCACCACCCCCAACCTCCACCCAGGGTAGCCCCTAGAGGCCTTTTGCTGACAAAAGTGCTCATCTCTGACCTTCCTGATGGCCTATGTCCTTTCCAGCCAGAAAATTCTATGATCCTGTGACCCCTAAAAGCCCTCCTCAGCTAATGGTTTTATGATCTTCCCTATGGAATCTTCTCCCTGCCCCCCAACCCCCTTCAGTAGGCCCTCGTCAAAATAAACAACATTTATGACCAGAGCAGGATTCAAGGTCCGCATTGCAAACAAATGCAGAGCCCTTTGAAGGTGCCTGGGGAATCCATCACGTCCCAGGGTGTGATGGGCCCCAGGCCTGAGAGGAGGTGGGCCCTGAACAGAGGCTTAGCCTTGGGAAGCTGGGCTCTGGCCTCTGGATTTGGAATCTGAAGTCCACGGATCACCCTGGGTTCCCTCCTCAGCCCTGACCCTCCGTCCCTGCGGAGGGCCTGGGCCTGGCCTGAAATGCCCTCTGTGGTCAGCACCCTCCCCTGCCCTGGGCCCAGGCCCCTTGGGGGGGCCAAGAGTTGACTCAGTGTGTCAACTGAAAGACAGTAAACAGAAACCGAGAAGGGGGTTTGAGTCTAAACCCACCCAAAAAAGTCTCAGTCGGTCAGTCGCTCCAGCGCACCTGGACAGTGGAGTAACCGCAGCGGAAAGCAAACTGGGCCGCTAGCCCACAGGAGCAAAGGACCCACGGAGGGAGAGAGTGGGCGCCAAAGAGGGCCAGCCTCTGCTCTGAGTTTCCATGGTCCGGAATGTCCTCCCTGATCACTTTAGCCAGCCATATGGCCGAGGGGAAAGTGGAAGCTGACTGCCCCACCCCAAATGAACACCTCTTCCTCTAGCCCACCCCAGGTGAAAGGCAGAGCCCCTCCTGCAAGAAAGGATCCCCACAGGCTTGTCTCAGCTCTGCCTTCAGTGGGAAGCAGACACCTCCATCCTCAGCTAGGTGGGGCCCAAGCCGATTTATTTTCAAGGGGGACTGCCTCGGCCTGGGGAACTGCTGTCTGCAGAATATTAATGTGGGATTCCCCAAGGTCCGGGTCTGTGAGCAGCTTTCTAGGACACAGCTCCTTGCTTCCTGCCACCACTGCGCCAGCCTCCAGAACTGGGGCAGGGGCCTGGGGGGTGGGGGGTGTTGGTGTTCGCCAGCTCAGAGCTGAGGGTGGGAGGGGGAAGCTTTCCTCAGAGGCCTGGCCCCTATCACTTAGCCTGCTAAAAATATTCCGCTATCCAGCAGGTTGGGTGAAGCG